GGAGTGATGCCTCAAGTGGCTGTTAGGGCCGAGGTGCTTATTACGGGCTCTGCTCTATCTCCTGGTAGGAAAGTTGCCCCATGACAATCTGGAGACTGAATTTTTGTGGTCACAATCTTTTTTTCCCTATTTGTTCTGTCAACATTGTAGTCTCGTTAATCCACCCTTGAGACTTCTTTGTCCCAGTGTCAGTGAAGCTCTTCTCCCGTCACACTTCCCGCATCCAACGAGCACTTTATTGCTTTAGCCTCGGTTTGTGTGCCAGGCACTTCAGTTTGTAGTTGAAAGGTGAAACAAGCTGCAAGACTTCAGCGTGGCAATGCAGGGGAACAAGCCTTCTGGACTGCCCTGTCCCGGAACTTCATTCAGTAGGTTGCAGAGGTAGCTTTTTATTTTAATAAAGCAATAATTAACTATTGTAGCAAAGGTGCATTATCATATCAGGAAATTCCTTTCAGTTTGCCTTAGGCCAGACACCGCGGCCTGCTAGAATGAACTGTGGGTACCTGTGCGTTGTCCTTGTTACTGAGCCCAGGTTTCCTTTTGTTCCTCAAAGAAAAAGGTGTGATCAAGTAAAGCTGCAGCAGTACTTGGCCATGCTTGTGGCTGTTCGTTAAGAACTATTTTAGGGCATCAGTTAGCAAGGATATTCTTAGCTGATGGATATTTGTCTTTGTGGTGTTGTTCTCTCACTCATCCTGCATCTGTATATCACTCAAACCTGTCATGCAAGATGCTCAGAATTTTGCTTAAATAGCTGCTCATGCAATTTTTACTGGATGTGCTGTAAATGTATTCTCACTTACCAGGATTGGAGTGTAAACAACATTTGTATGCATCAACTAGCCACAGTATGAATTTAGGTGTGTAGGGTATGTGTTGGTTTTTTTGTTTTTGTTTTTTTTTATCTCCAGGGGGTCACAACTTTAGATGTCTCAGTTTTCCTGGCATATACGTCTGCAGCTTCACAGGTCACAGCTTTCTGCCTTGAGGAAGCAAAGCTGATCCTCCCATGGCAGGAGATGCCCTTTTTAAAATGCTTCATGTCCTGCTTCAGTCCAGCTTTACTGTGCTGTGAGTATCAACTCCAAAGAGATTTAGAGGAACAGGAGCTTCCCGTGGTAGTGACCCCACTGTTGAGGTGAGGAGCCCATTATATGACCCAACATGTCACTATGAAGGAAGGACAGGTGTGCATCAAGCCTCCTTGGAGATCAAAATTCTTTCTCAGATTTCCTCAAAGTTCCTCAAAAGCAGGGCTCCCTGCCCAGCTCCCCACATGCCTGCAATTCTGCCTTCCTTCCCAGGACCCCAGGCTTGCAGAAAGAGTTCAGCTGTCAGCTGCCCCCGACAGGGAAGTTGGAAGTGAGAGCGCTATGGCTGGCTGCTGTCTGAAAGTAGATGTTGAGAGGCAAAGCTGGCATTTGCTTGCTTCTGAATTGGGGTTAGAGGGCAAACTGCTTTTTGGGCAAGGCATGTCAGAGTAAAGCTCCACTTTCAGAGGAACTGGGTAGGTTTTTATTGAAGAACTTTTCCTCCTTCCTTTTTTAAGAACTGTTCCTGACAGACCGGGTTTTGAAACGTTTCCTGTTCCTGAGGTACGAGGAAGTTGCCCTCTCAAGTGTACCTTTATTTCAAACTGACTTCGCTGTAGTTACAGTAGATGGCCAATCAGTGATGTCTTAAAGCAAATATTTCCTAAAAAATGAGGTGAGCAGCTGGGCAATTATCAAAGCGGCAAGAGCTTTGTCTAATCAAGTAGGGATTTTGCTCAAACTGAGTTTTTTTTCAAGGAGTACTACATCTTCCTGCCCTGTAACTCATAAGCCTTCATATTTCAGAAGTGCCAATGCTGTGGACTTTCTGAAACTCTCAACTAGAGAAGTAATAGGGGTCTGTCCTGCTCCTTTGACCTGTTCTTGCACTTGCACATACAGCTGCTTAAACCTCTTGTGGCTTGACAACTAATTCTAGCCTGTTTGGGGAGGAAGAACTTTGTCATAGCTTGGTTGTGCAAGGGTTCCAGAACCTGGGAGTCACCTTACTAACTTCTGTTGCAGACAGAAGCAGTAAAAATCTCTTCTCCCAATCCCACCCAATTTGCTCCTTTCAAAGCAACTCATGTTGTCAAACCTGCTGCAGCAATTTAGAGATCTCAAGGAAGCAGGAGAGGAGGAAGTGAAGCTGCAGTGCGTGTTATCTAGAGACCTTCAAAAAAAGGAATCCTGTATTAAATCTTGCTGCTGACAAGAGATTGGCAGCTGATACCTAGTGCCAGTACCACAGGCAGGAAGGGACTTTGTCCAATCCTTCCCTGAAATGCATTTCTCTCCCAAAATAAGGCAATGCTAGTTCTGTGATGTCTGCAGATGGTCTTCACTTGCCAGTGAACCCCACCTTAAATGCAATATGAATTTTTAGATCTTAGAGGTGAAGCAGTCTTCTCATCTCTTGCGAAGACACACGAGCTTGTAGAAGGACACACTTCAAGCCCAGAGCAGTACAGCCTGGTAGCGCAGTTCAAGACTACAGCATGATGAATCTGTCGTGAGCTCTGTTTAGTTTCAAACCGGGATTAGAAAAGGCATCAGCAGAGCTCTTCATTTATTCTCATGTACTATACACCCCTCTTCCTCATCGCTGTATGTAAAAGTAACACTCAAACATAAACCCCAAGGACCATCTCAATCAGATAGCAAGTTGCAGAACGTATTTTTGTGGTGGTTAGGCTGGTCCAACCATCTTTGTCAGTGTCTGGAGACACCTGGAACTTGGAGGGGAGCAGCTGGGACTTGCTCTTATGGACCACAAGGAACTTGCAGCTTCCATGACACCAGATCTGCCAGCACGTTTAATGATCCCGTGGTTGGGTTCTAAATTGAAGGTGTTTTCAAATGAGTCAACAGCTGCACTGTAAAGACAGACACTTGAACCTCCCTGCGGTCTTTTCCTGACCATTTTTCTTCAGTTCCTGTTCTGTGAAGGTACAGGTTACAAAGACAGGGCATTAAGCAAAGATGTTGAGAACTGTTGTCTCCAGCACTGAATTTAGCCAAGCTGTGTGTCATCTGTCCTGGGTCTGTCACAAGTTCCTAGACCTCAGCCCTTTGACACGTGGTGCCTTGCCCTTTTTCTCCTCCTCCCTTGACATCAGCATATCTAGAGACTTCAGCAGCAGCTCTGTCAGAGCTTTTGGGCTTTGCTTTTTAGTAAAGGATTCCTCACACAGCAAGCGGTGAGACCCCTCTGGCGATGTACACTGTACAGTCGTGTGCTGACATAAAGGACCTTTGTGGGCAGCCTCCAACTCGATGGTCTATTTTAAGGCTTAAAATAGCAATGTGTATAAGCAGTGGATCATTTCTCAGCTCTGTTCCTCGAGTTCCTTGAATTTGCCTCTAGCCATAGGGATTGAGTCAGACGGAGGGTTTGCTTAGTATGTGACTCGTTACCTTGTGATCCCCAAGTTCTTGTGTCTGTTGACTCTTCAGCAACATAACTGGAGGTGAATTGTGTAAGGGGCTACATCTCAAATGAAAGAGCAGAGTGGTAACTTCAAGAATTAATTGCTGAACGGTTCAGTCACCTGGTTTGCTTCCAAGGACTTTTTTTTAGAAATATTATGCCTCTCTGGAGGTTATTGAAATTCTTCACAGCCTTTTCAGGAAGACCAGGAAAGGCCCTAGTCCTGTGCTGCGTGTGCAAGTCATTTGTTGTGAAGAGCATCGTGTCCAGTCATGCTCCGCGTGTCCTGAGCCCTCTGGCAGCTGGGTAGATCCCAGAGCCACGGTGATTCAAAGCAGGGTCTCCTTCGGGGCTTCTAGTTCTAGGCAAAAAGCAAACAGCTCTTCTTGGCGTGAGGGCTTCCTGAGCTGTCTACCAGCTTAGAATGCCTGCAGAGGGGGGTGCCTGCCCCCCTTTCATTGCTAGCAGTCTCTTACAGCAGCCTGGACTCTCCTCAGCTGGTAGGGAAGCTCAGGCACAGTGCCATCAGTCAGTCAAAGCGGCTGCCAGCTTTCCACACTGCAGTGGAAAGGTTTCTGGGATTACCCTGAACTATTGCATTTCAAACATCTGTATTTGTGTTTTTCTGGTTAATCAATGGACACAAACACCGCAATCCAGGGCAGCATTTACCAGGTTGGATCTGCTGGTATTGAAGAACCTTTTCCAGGTCTGTCTGATAAGGCTCTAAAAGCCCCAGCCCTGCATCCCCTGTGGATGAGGACCATGTTTTGCCATCTCACCCCTTGGCCTTGCCTAACGCAGGTGACTTGAATACCATCAAGGAGCCTGATGCCACGAGGTGGCCCAGCACAAGGCCTTTTAGCTTTTGTCTGAGTGACAAGCGTGCATCGCCTGCCTGCAGTCATGTGAGAGCTTTGATTAGATGCAGATTTTCCTTGTGGGATCTCTTACAGCTCTTCTGGGATGCTGACCCTTCTGTGGCTCCTGCCAGCTGGGATGTCTTTAAAAATAATAACAATAAAAAGTGTATTTCATGTAACCAAACACTACTGCTTAGCCCATGTCAGCAGCTTTCCAAAGGACCGTGTTTTCTCATTCCTGACAACTTGTCCCTGTTTCCCCGTGACTCGAAATCATTTCTGAGAAAGCGATAACCCCCTTGCAGGAGGGGCCCTTTCTCTGGAGGTGCCAAGCTGAAGAGGTGTGGGGAGCCCTCAGGAAGGCAGACCCATGCCCTTCTCACGTTGCTGCTGCAGCTGTGTTAGAGCAGGCTGAGAATCGGATGTTCTTGGTGAGCAGCGTGGTTCATTACAGATAAATTTCCAAATTGGCAAAATTATCCTCTGGAACAATCTCTAAATGCTGCCCTGAAAAAGCTTGTGTACAGAGATAGCCTCCCTGCTGCCACGTTCTGAGTCAGATTCTCTGAAGCTGACAGCTGCAGGGGAGATGATTTGCAACTAGCAATGCAATTTTTCTATATCTGCTGATGTTTACCTTTAAAATTATATATATAAATATATATTAAAGTGTCTTTGATTTTTTTCTTTAATTTTTGTTCTTCTGTGTGGTGTAAGATGGAAGTCATTGCACAACAAAATGTAATTTTGTTATCTTTGATTCAGTGGGATTTCTTTATTTAAAAATAAAGGACTTATGGAAGTCAGTGCTCCGTGGAGTGGCTGTGTCCCGTGTTACTGGGTGGGGGGGTCCTGCTGTCATTCCTGACACACGGAGCAGCAGCGAGGAAAGGATGGGCTGACAGGGGAACGTATGGGGCCAACAAGGTCATCCTCACCAGAACACAGACGGGTGTCTGAACACCTTCCCTCAGTCACAGGATTTGGATTAGCTCAAGGAGGAACTGGAGGAGTTCTTCAGTCCCAGCCCTTAAATGTGAGTTTAGTGTTTGGTGTTAAGGCTTCTGTTTGTTCGTGGCTAAAACAGGAGCACCTCAGAGCAGGGCTGCCCATATATCCCTGTGGGGTACACGAAAGCAGGAGTTGCCTCGCTGCTTCCCCTCCTGTCTCCCCGACAGGAAAAACCCTTAGAAACCCTTGTCAGTAATTCCCGTGTCACAAGATTTAGTCCTGCCTCTGGGTTTCTGACCACTTCTTGGCTCCTCTGGAGGTAAATGCAGGGGCTCTGGTTGTTCCAGGAGCTGCAGCTGGCCGCCTCCTTGGGGGGAGAAGCCTCAAGCTTGCACTCTTCTTCCCTGCCTTGGGGAGAAGCTCTGCCACTCCTATACATACACAGATATCTCTATAAATGGGAGCATCTCGAATAATTGCCCTGGCTCAAGCAGTAGCTAAGCATGGGGAGCCTTGCTGTCCCCTGAGCAAAGCCCTGTGTGGTTTTCTCAGCAGCTGACGGGCTGGTGGCTCAGCCTGGGGAGCTAGCTCTGTGTTCATCTTCCCCCTGCCTCCCCTTCCAGCCCGCGTTGCGTGCACAAGTAATGCTCGAGCCTTTCCTAGTTGCTTTTTCTTCCCCCAGAGGAGGTGTGATTGCTTTCCTGAGCGAGCAAGCCAGGCTGTTGTGTTTTCACTGGCCCCAGGGCTGCGGGGGCTTCCCTGGGGCTGCTCGGTGGGCTCAGCGGGGTGAGGAGCTGCCTCCAGTCCTCCTCGGGGCCCTGGCACCAGGCTGGGATCGCAGGGTCCGTGGTGCTCAGCGAGTCGGCAGCGCTGCGGAGGCTGCAGGAAAGGGATTGCAGCCCAGACAGGCCCCGTCCTCCCGGCGGCTTCGGAGCCAGCCTCCTGTTTGGTTTGAGCCCGAGCCAGTGCCCTGATGAATGCAGCTCTTGTCGGCTCTGGATGGGCTCTGGCCCTCTGCTAATGAAAGGCGCTGGTGTGTGGCTGGGGGACGGGGAGGAGGGGGCAATACTGGGGTGGCAGAGGAGGAGGTGACCGTCAAGTCCTGGGCTAGCGGTGCTGCCACCCCTCGCTGGTCGTGAGCAGCTCTCGTGCCCTCCTCCTCCTTTTGGGGCTCCTCATGGGGTTTTCCTGATGTGAACGGCTTTGATCTGAGCTCCTTCTCAGATGCAGTGCTGGGAGAGGCAGCTGTGTTAAGGCTTTTAGGGGATTTGCGGGGGTAAATCTGCACATCTTTCACTGTCCTGTGGTTAAAATTCATCTCTGACCCTCAGTGGCTGCTGTTCTTTCTCCCTGACAGAGTGAGGATTAGGTAGTCAGCTCCATCTGGGCCCTTCTTGGGTTCTTTGCATCTTTCGGGCTGTTTTCTCTGGCTAAAGCAGGGGACAGAATTGGGGGGCCTGGTCCAGGGGAAGGAGAACTCTGCTTTGGGATGCAGGGAGGATGGGGAAGGATGGTTCCTTGATCTCTGTGCCAAGAGGCCTGTTCACAGCAGGGCTGCTGCTCCAAGCCTCTAACAGAGCTGAGCAGCAGCACCTGTGCCCCAAAAGCCTCCCCCTGTCCCTTGCCGTGTGCCACGAGGGACCCAGGAGCTGTGCTGTTAAACACTTCTTTATTTCTCCGCGTCCAGCTTTCAGCCAGCCCCTGGCAGGGCCCTCCTGCTGTGACGGCCTCCGGCTGCGTTACCCCCACTCCTGCCTGTCCCCCCTCCAGCCGATGCCACCCCAGGAGCTCCCCAGTGCCCCCAGGGCTGGCTGTGGAGCCCCTCTCCGGCTGCACTGCCCCACAGAAGAAAAAGCTAAGGCTGAAGCAGAGCAAGGCACGTCCTACCTGCATCCGAACCCCTGCGGTGTGCCCGGGGCAAAGGGAAAAAGGGACATCCTCCTGGCTGCCACCACCCCCCTTCCCAGCATGGTCATTCCCCCGTGCCCCCTTTTTTTTGCAGGAGCAGGCTGGTGGCCAGCTTTCTCTGCTGGCTCCCAGGGAAAGGACCCTACTCCAGGAGGGGCAGGGACCCTATTCCAGGTGGGACGGGGCTGCCAGGTGGCCCACAGCCAGGTCTGGGGATGGGGACAGGCACGGGGCAATGCACCCGGAGCGCCTCGTTCCCAGCAGTCACTCAACCAACGCTACGGGAGGGAGGTGGTTGGGGTTAGGGGACCACCTCTGAGCCTATGTTAGGGGGGAAGGGGGGCGGCCCCCGCTTTAGAGAGCCGTGTCTTCAGCCTCGATGCAGGGCCCGAAGAGCTTCTCCGCAGTGGCTTTGCCATCGTACTTGGGCAGGTTGCCACCGAAGTCTGCCGGCAGGATGTCGGCGTCGATCTCCTGGTAGAAGGACTCCAGCTCCTCGCCGTGCACAAAGACCTGGCGCGAGGGGAGCGACCCTCAGCAGAGAGCTGGTGACCCCACAGGTGGCAAAGGGGTGCCTGGGGGGCGCCGGCAGTGCTGGGAGCCAGCAGCAGTCCCAGCTCTTCCACCTTCTTCTCCCCCTCTGCTCGGCTTTACCCCCCTTTGCCCCCGGGTCCCCTCCCCGCACTCACCCTCTCCAGCAGTTTGCTTTTCAGGAAGGGTTTGACCACGTTGTAGGTCGTGGTGAAGTACCAAGGCTGGTGGATGAAGTGCACGGCCTTGAAGCGCGCTGGGAAGGAGTCCTAGGATGCCAAACCCAGATGGGGACAGTCACAGACCGTGCTGGCCACGTAGGGCTGGGAGAGGAGGTGGGCAGCAAGAGAAACCCCACACTGCCTCCACGCCCCTTCCCCAGCCTCCCTCTTTTGTTCTGACCCAGAGGTTCAGCCATCCCAGCCCCAGGAGCAGCAGGGAAGCTGCAGAGATCCCATCTTGCAGGATTAAGCCAATTAACTAGCAAAGGAAGGAGCGTGTGATGGGGAACAGCCCCTCCATGATGGCAATCCAACCCCCTACTGGCCCTGGGCACATTCTCTTCCAGCTCACCTGCAGCATGTCCACCATCTTCTTGAGCTCGGAAGGTTTGATCCCTGACGCCTGCTGCATGGTGAAGCCCTTGAAGTTCTCGATGATGCAGAACCCGTTGATCTGGGTCTCTTCGTTTTCCAGCAGCTTCTCCAAGATAACGCAGTAGGCACGAAGGATCTGGATGGGAGGAGTGACAGCAGGCTCCGTGCCTCCATTTCCTCCTTTGCCCTGCGGGTCCTTCCTTTCCAAAGCCCCCCGATTTAGTGGTGTGGTGCCCCCTTCACCCCGAGCTATCTGGGCTGGGAGATGCACACCCTGTGCCCTGCAACCCGCACCACACCAGGAGGAAAGAAGGGGAGCCCCTTGGGACGGACCAGGAGAAATTCAGAGTTTTACTTAAACCTGGGTGGAACAACCCCCAAAAACCTGCTGACCTCGTCGAAGGTGATCTCCTCGTAGTCCCAGTTCTCGATGTTGAAGAGCATCACCACCCGGCCGTACTTGTCCCTGCTGGCCAGGATGCCGGGGTAGCCCGCCTCGATGGTGCTGCGCACAGCCTCGGGGGTCAGGTTGTCGAAGAGCTCGGGGTACTGCTGCCGAAAGTTCACGTAGCCTGCGGGGGGACAAAGCTGCTCACCTGTCCCCGGGAAGCCGGGAGAGCACGGGGTGAGCTCCCCGCCCCTGGCACCCCGCAGGCACGGAATATGGGAATGTGCTGGGAAAATGGGGGTGAACAAAACAGCTCGTCTGCGAGCCAGCGCTGATAATTACAACTCATTATCCACCCGGCAGACACAAAGGAGAGCAGAGCAGAGCCAGGCAGGACAAAGCCCGTGGCCAACCCCTGCTCCCTGTCCGTCCCGTGTGCCACCCCCAGCATGGGGAGGGGGTGCCACAAGCCCACCCCTGCCCTGGAGTGGTCCCAGGGGTGCTGAGCCCCCCAGGCACCGTGCACAAAACGCATCAGGATGCGAGCAGAGACCTCCAGCCCTGCCTTTTGCTGCTGCTGCTCGCTCCCGTGCCCTGCCAGGGGTCTGGGTGCTCTGGGAGGCGTGGGGGGGGATCGGGACACCCATCCCTACCCATCCCCACAGCGCAGGGCCCCCCACCTTTCAGCAGGTCGTAGGCCCTGTGGACGTCGAACTTGCGGGCGCGGATGAAGCGGAGGAAGAAGGAGTCGTCCTTGCCCTGCATCTTCTCGGCCACCGCCTTGCAGACGTCCTCGCTGCCCGCCCGCTCCTGCACCAGCTCCCGCAGCGCCCTCACCGCCGCCTCCCTCTGCTCCTCGGTCTCGTTCAGCTCGTCCTTTGCCTGGGGTGGGGAGCAGGGAAGGGTCCTCAGCATCCTCACAAAGCCCTGGGGACCCCGAGCCACCCACAGACCCACCCCGGCGTGTGTTTTGGCACAGGAAAGCAGCCGGACACGGTGCCGCTGGCTGCGGGTCCCTGGGCTGTGCCTCACCTTCTGCAGGGTGTGCGGGGGGATCTGCTGGCACCTCCCGAAAACGGGGCCGTGGTCCTTGGTGGTGAGGCGCTCCAGCTTGGTGCGCAGGGCCTGCTCCTCCTCCGAGACGATGCGGAAGGTGCCCGTCTGGGGGCGAGGAGAGGATGGGGGGCTGAGGAATCCTCTGCTCACAGCCCCCCACCTCCCTCCCCGCCAGCCCCACGAGGCTGGGGACAGCCCCGGCGCTGTGCGGGTCCCTCTGGGCTGCACCCCAAGGGACAGGGAAGAGCGAGGGGTGCCACAGCTCAGCGCTGCAGGGAGGGGATGCTCAGTACTCACAACAGCAGACATGTTGCCTCTAGCCTTTATCAGCAGCAGGACACTGGAAGAGAGGAGGAGGAATTACCGTGGGGATCTGAAGCCCCTGCAGCCCCCTGTGCCCCTGTCCCTCCTGCCCTGATCCCACAGAGGCTGCACTGGGGTGGAGGAGGGTACCTGGTGGGCACAGCACCCTCAGCTCCACCGCCCGCTGCCCGTGGGGCTGCCTGGTGGAAGCTGAGAGTGTTGGAGAAACACCAGGGCTGTTTGCAAAAGCAGATTAAATACGTGGGTATTGGTCATCTGATGCCTCCAGCATGGTGTTTTTTCTGGGTTTACATTTTTTGGGAGGCTGTGGCCAAGAACAACCATGGGTCATGGGGACACACAACCCCAGGAGCTCCTCCAGCACGGTGTCACCTCCGACCACATCCAGGGCAGTGCGGGGAGCACCAAGTGCTTCCCAAGATCTGGCACGAGCAACATGCCCCAAGCAGCACGCGTGGTGTGGGTCCTGCTGCCCTGTGGGTGCTCATCGTGCTGCTCTGGGGAGTCCCTGTAGGATGGCCCAGAGCTGCCACGGCCCTGCTGAGCTGCTGGGTTGGGGATGTTTGCGGGAATGGGGTGTAACGGGGTGTCCTCCTGCTCCCCAAATGCTCCCCTTGGCCCTTGGGCTCTTCCTGTACCACTCCAAGGCTTGAGTCATGGAGAGCGATGCAGAACGACCTCAGGCAACGCTCCCACCTCCTCCTCTTAACACAGAGCTGCCTTCCCTGCCCACCCTGTTGCCTTTCATTCCTGGCACGCTGTCCCCACGATATTCACCAAACACCAGAGCCCCTGCAGCTCCAGAGCCCGTCCCCAGCCGTGACACCAGACCCCAAAACCCCTCAGCATCTCCCCAGTGCCCCGCTTGTCCCAACACCTCCCATGGGCTCCCCCACCAGCACTCCCTTTTTTGAGGCACGGAAAACAACCCCAGTCCCGGAGGTGACAGGTCGAGGAAGGCTGGGCCATGGGGCCTGATGCAAAATATTTCAGCTGCAAAACGTCCCCCATACTCACCAGGGACAGGGAAAACCTGCACCAGGCTGGGAGCGCGGAGTGGGGCCAGGCAGCTGGGCAGCGAGGCCGGAGTGGAGCAGCAAGAAAAGCCAGGAGAAAGCTTTGTAGAGTCACCGGGTTGGGATTAGGCCGTCACAAGGCATCAACTCGCCGCAGCTTTATAATTAAGTCCGCGCGAAGCAGGCTGCGAGCCCCGTTAAAACCTTACAAAAGGCAGATGAGGAGAGGGGAGGACGGAGCAGGAGGGCTGCGGGCCGGGTGCGCGGAGGGGCGGGCTGCTGGGCCCGATTAACGAAGTATAAAAGCTCCTCATTGTGTAACCCCCTCATTAGCGTGGGGCCGGGGGTGGGCAGCGTGCCACCCCCCGCCTCTGCCCCCAGCTCTGCGAGCAGAGAGCACGGGGGGAGCTCGGCCGGGGTGCTTGTGGGGCAGGTGGGGATGCACCCACATCCTCTCCTCCTCCGCCGTCACCTTCCTGCAAAGCAGCGTTTGTTTTGCTTTAAAAATAATAAAAAATGTGGGCAAACAGTGTCCTCAAATGGGGCCAGTCCTGTGTGGCGTGGACAGCCCCAGTGTGGAGGTTCACTGGTGGTGTCCTGCACACAGAGGGGACGGCCAGGGGATGGGGATCACAGGCAATCCCGGTGATCCCAATGCTTGGCTTCTCTGGGAACTCGAGGGCAGCCCACCTCGGGGCCAGAGGGACAATTTGGGGACAGTGACACGAGGCTTTTTGAGGTGTCCATGTCACCGTGTGCCCAGGCTGCTGGGCGCTGGGGAGCTCTTCCAGCCTTCTCTCTCCCTCGGGACAGGTTTATGGGGTCAGGATGAGGACGGTGCCATGCACGGCTGCTTCCTGCAGCCCCGTGGCTCCTCCACGGGGAGGGAAGACAGGAGCCCATTGAGAGCCAGGGGCTTGGCCGCGCTCCTGCTGCACTGGGGATTTGGGGGGTGGTGGTGGTGAATGGGAACGAAGGGGCTTACACAAGGCATGTTTTGTAACGCCGTGAGGATTTACGGATTTGGATTTCACCACGCTGCCCCACAGCAGAGCTGAGACCCCTCGGTGAGGGAGGAGGAGGAGGAGGAGGAAGGCACGGGGCTCCCACAGAGGGGCAGGAGGGGGAAACCCGTGCCTGGAGCAAGCCCCCCGTTGACGCCAGAGCCACCAGCGGCCCCGTCCCTGCCCTGTGCCGACCCCACACGGCCCCAGCTGTGCCCTGGCCCTTTCTCTGGGCATTTCTCCACAGACCAGCCCCGAGGGGTGGCAGCCCCGTGAGGGCAAACCACGGGGATTTTTGCATCTGGAGCCCTTGGGGGAGCACCGGGACAGCCCCAAAGCCCTGTTCTGAGCTGCGTGACCCCGCTGAGGGGCTCACCAAGCCGCCCGCCCTGCCTCAGAGCAGCCAAACCCCATCCCAAGGGGAATGGGGGCACAGCACCCACATGGACCCCGTGCCCTGCCACTCGCAGGCAACAGCTTTGGGGATAAAGTGGGGCTAAAGTGGGGTTAGACACACGGCAGGGGGCTGCGTGCCGAGGGCTCGGCGTGTCCCTAAACCCCCCCACAGCCCCCCAGCGCCACAGCCCCGCGGAGCAGCCGGGGCCGGGACTCGAACCCGCGACCTTGGGGGTTGGAACTGGGAGGGGGGGGGGCAGGGGTCGGGCTCTCTCAGGCCACCGGAAGTGAGGGCCGGGGGGCGGGCGCTGTTGCCATGGTGACGGGCGGCACTTCCGGGCGGGAGTTTCGGGCGGGCGGGCAAGATGGCGGCGGCCATGGCGCAGCGCGTCCTGGCGCTGGCGGCCGAGGAGGGCCCCGAGCGGCTCCAGGAGGCCCTGCAGGGCCTGGGGGAGGACGAGGTGCGCGGTCGTGGCCCCCCCGTAACCCCTCACCCCCGAGCCGGGGGCTCTCCTGGCGGCGTCTGGGGCGCCTGGCAGCTTGGCCTTCTCGTTGCAGCTGGGCGAGATGGTGACGAAGCAGGCCCTGAGGGGCAGGGAGACGGCGGCGCTGCTGAGGGGGATCTTCAGAGGTGGGTGGTGGCGGGGCTGGGCCCCCGGGGGGGGCACGGTGAGCTGGGTGAGGGCGGTGGGCAGCAGCACGGGCTGTGAGGGGCGCCTCTGGGGAGAGCCAGGCGGGTGTAAGCGGGATGTGACAGCACGAAGTGATTATGCAGTGAAAAGGGAGCTGGAGTAACGCGTTTTTGGTGACCGCATTCTATATTGGCTTGACTTTTGCTGGCACATAGGTGTGTTTCACCTGCTGGCTGCTGAAGCTCAGTTCCCAAGTGGTTCGCCTCAAAATGCTGCCACTTGCCGAGCCTGGAGGGCAGGTTGGCAGAACCAGAGTGTGGCAAGAGGGCTGAGTGTTTCGGCGGTTTTATCCAAGAGATTCTCATTTCCTGTACTCTGTTTTTTATCTGTGTTGTCAGATATACAAAATGGGGAGCTACGGCTGAGTGACGGTTTAGCCCTGCAAATTTCCTGTTTAGAAAGGCGTTGTTATTTGTATAACCTTGTTTCCATTCCTCATCTTCCTTTGTTTTCTCATTATAAGGCTCCCCGTGTTCCCAGCCGAGTGGCGTTCTCAGGAGGCTGCAGGTGTACAAGCACTGCGTCCCGCTGGTGGAGTCAGGGGATCTGCACTTGAGCAAGGCGTCCGAAATCATCGGGCTGCTGATGCTGGAGGTAGGAGCTCCTCAGGGCTGGCTCTCCTGAGGCCTGCTGCCTATCCCCTAGCAAGTACACCGAGTGCTTCACCACTGAGACAAATGAGCTGTGGATCTGCCCTGGACTAAGAGGGTCTTGGAACTTGCCGTGTGTTTAAACATGATTTTCTTTGGATATCTAGACCTAGACTCCAAAATCGTAATTGCCTTCACTTGATTAGGTGCTCTGTTCTGTCCAAGACAGCATGGAATAGAGGTCGTGGGGTGAACTCCCCCTTTAGACGCCCTGCACTGTGAGAAATGTCACAGTTCTGAGTGTTTGGTGACCATGAGGACGTGTATGAGGAGAGTTCCTGTGCCTGCCCCAGGCTCTTTCACGTTATTCCATCTTCTCCCAGGTTCGCCAGCTGCCAGGCCCCGCGTTGGCTGAGCTTGCCACCCTGTTTGTTGATGTTGTTAAGGGCGGCAGCCTGTCTAATGGGAAATCCTTGGAGCTGTTTTCCACTGTTCTTACCGCGTTGGCCAGCTCAAAGGAGAGCCTGGCTTATGGGAAAGGTAACCTTCTCCTTCTGTCAGCCTCTCCTCTCTCCCTCTGGAGCGTACACCTAAAAGACTTTTGCTTTTTTAGGTGAACTGAATGGGGAAGAGTTTAAGAAACAGCTGATAAATACTCTTTGCTCCAGCAAGTACGTACCTCTCGGCCAGCTCCGCTGTGCGTTAGCTTGGTAAAAACTCAGCCAGGGCCTAGTCCTGTTTGGGCTTTTTACAGAAATCCCTGTGACACCCCAGAGGCGTGGCGAGAGCTAAATCTGCAGTTAGATGTGTCCACAGCCCTGTCGTTCCCTTAGTTATGTGTCAAAACAGTGTGCTTTGTGTTGTGCTTTGAGAAGGACGTGGTGACGAGTTGGATGGCTCTGTCTGTGTCCTGTTCTGTCGTCTTTGAATCTGTGCCCTCCGTGACAGTGTCCTCCCTGGCTGGAAAGGCAAAGGAACAGCCTGTTGCCAGGTCTTGTAACAGTGTTGTGTGAGTTGGTCTCAGGAAGTGTTTGTTTTTATTCCTTTCTTGATGTTTGTTGTTGTGGGGGCCAGGGCAGTTTGGAACCATTCTAAGTCTGGGTAATTTGGGTGACAGTGGTGATTTCAGGTTGGAAATTTGGCTTCTGATCTTAATATCAGGAAGTAACAAACAGGGAAACTGAATCAAGGGATAAACAATAATTCTGCTTCCACTCAGTTTCCTGGCAAACTTTTGTTTTGTCAGGTGGGACCCTCAGAGCGTGATACATCTTGCCAACATGTTCAGGTAATTTTTCTTTCCTTCAGCAAGCACCAATGCTTTCTTGTGCTGCAGTCATCTCCATGTCCCATCTCACAGGTAATTTGGGGAAAGTGCAAATTGTCTGAGCATAGCAGGTGTCACCCCGTGGGTGTTTCGGTCAATGAATGTCCAGATTGAACAGTATCCTGGGACAGTGCTTGGGTATTGGGTGATCTCTGTTCTGCTGAGAGCTTTGGGAGCTTGCTGCCTGCCTGTACGTGAACTCTT